ACTGTGTATAAGAACATGTGAATATCCCCCCTTTGGCAGATGTATGGATGTAATGTCTGTGATTTGTCGTAATCCCGACAAGAAATCGACCAGCTCCGGCCCCCCCGGCCCATCCACTGCCATCATTATTACCTCACATTTCGTCCTAACACCACCAGCAAAACGCCAGCACTTTGAGACATTTACAGTATTTTGTCAGGGCAGTTTTGTGGTGACCTACGGTTGGATTCCTCTGTCGTAAAATTGTAGGTGTTTTTACGTCTCTATAGGCACAATTTAGGTCATTTAGGAGGCGGAACTTTCCTCCCTGCCTGTCAGGGCCAGCCCGGGGAGAGAGGGAAACTTTCCTCCCTGCCTGTCAGGGCCAGCCCGAGGAGAGAGGGAAACTTTCTTCCCTGCCTGTCAGGGCCAGCCCGGGGAGAGAGGGAAACTTTCCTCCCTGCCTGTCAGGGCCAGCCCGGGGACAGAGGGAAACTTTCCTCCCTGCCTGTCAGGGCCAGCCCGGGGAGAGAGAGGGAAACTTTCCTCCCTGCCTGTCGGGGCCAGCCCGGGGAGAGAGAGGGAAACTTTCCTCCCTGCCTGTCGGGGCCAGCCCGGGGAGAGAGGGAAACTTTCCTCCCTGCCTGTCAGGGCCAGCCCGGGGAGAGAGGGAAACTTTCCACCATCAGCTCCGTAATCAATCCGCCATGTTGTGGTGAGACAAATGGGAACTGTTAATCGTGTACATGTATGTCCTATAGATCTCTAGCTATATCGTGTACATATGGATGTGTACAGAAGTTCTTGCCAACTTCTTGGCCCTCTGAGGCCGCGCCTTACATAACTTGGCTGAGCTGCCGCGGGCGGTTTGAGTAATAAACAACAAACGTTCGTTTTGTTCTTTTCTTATTCTGTGTTTTTTCCTTCCTTTACTTGTCCTCCACTGTCATTGAGAACCTCCTGTCTGCCACGTGTCCTATTCCAAACAGAGGACAAACCACGGGCTTTGTGAGGAGACTTTCCTTCTGAAGACTCCAGACAACAATAAACAACAGAACCAGCTGTAAGAGATGTACAATCCCCACCATCACCCCACCATCACCCCACCATCACCCCACCATCACCCCACCATCACCCCACCATCACCCCACCATCACCCCAGTGCACTCAGAGACATTTACGGCTTTGCGAAACCCTTGCTTGAAAACAAAAAAATGAAAGATAGAAACAGGCGCAGTGTGTGGCGAGCAGCAATATAGAGAAAGTTAACATGGTATGTTTGTTGACTTGTCTACATTGCTGGAATATTGAGTATTTGGTATTCTGGGTTTTATTTTTGTGTTTTTGAATAACATGTACGAGTATTTCTGTATGTACGTTTGCCATTGTAACCCACATTTCGCTGCTGGGTAGGAAAAAAAAAGTGTTTAACCCCCCCCCCTAAAAAAACAAAAAAATCGACAAAAATCTACAAACCAGCGGAAAATGGCAGTTTGTTCCCATTGATTATTATGACGAGCGCGCGCGCACACACACACACACACACACACACACACACACACACACACACACACACATGAAAATCAAACTAAAATAATAAACAAAACAAACACACAAACAAACAAACAAACCACCAAACAACCCAACAAAGATGATGGGAATGACCTGTAGATTTCAGGACATAACGGTCATCTTGTGTACAGTGGGCCTCGGTGAAATGGCCAGCCAAAGGCCGAGGAATTATGTGGTAATCTTTGCTCTTCTCTCCACTTTTGTTGCGGTCAGAGTTTTACAGCGCTCGCAACTACAGTAAAGTCATCTGGGCGTGGTCTTGTGTAAGAGGCGAGGAAAGCCGAGCGGGGACGGGGTGATGACGTCACACCAGTGGACAAAAGGACTGACCACACGGTCCCAGGGCGGGGCAATTTGTGGCCGGTTCTGTCGGGGGTATCGATGGTGGCGACCGGCAATGGCATGGTTGTAAACTGTTCTGTATTTGTGTAATAGTGTGTATGTATGTATGTATTTATGTATGTGTTTATGCTTGTATTTATGTATGTACGTATTAACAATTATGTATTTATGTATGTATGTATGTTTGCCATTGTAAACGAAAGTGCCTTCTGGGGCAAATAACAGTCTAGTTTTTTAAATAATTATTTATGCTGGAAATTAATTACTGGACCTTTAGAGTTCTATAGATACATACTCGAAAGAGCTATACACATTGGTGCTTATTCTGACTATAGCCGTATGCTAGATGGTAAAACAGTTCTTTTATATCTTTCTTTCTTTGTTTTTAGAGGTACATATCTACCGCTGCGTGATCTTACAGAAAGAAAGATTTACTTGGCTGAGGGACTTGGGACCAACACTGTTTCTTGTGATTTTTTTTTTAAAAGTTATAAAAATCGATGTAATACCAAAGAAACAATTCCATGATGAAAACCCCCAGCAAGAAACAGTCTCGATACTTGGCAAGCAGATCGCGTCTCACACACAGATAGGTACATCACTCGGCATTTCTTTAAAGGGAATCGATTCCAGCAGAAAAGACATTTGTCGCTGACCTTATTGACCTGGTGCGGATGGGGG